CAGACATGGCATAATAATTGCTTAAATAGCAAAAGATTGGAAACAAATATTCTTCAACAGGGCACCAGTTAAATAATGAACTAACCAAATATACTAAGTAAAAACAGCAAAATGCAAAGCAATGTGTATAGTATACTACAACATATGCTTAAAAATTTGAACATATATACTTGCATATGCTTCTGTATGCATCTATAGTCAATGGGTATAATCAATACAAGAAATAAGAAGTTAAATCTGGGAGAAGAACTGAGTGAGTGGTGAGCAGGGGTGAAAAGGGCAACTGTTTTCCACTATATTCCAATTTACAACTTTTGAATTGTGTGCTATTCAAATCACTTTAATTAATGCAAAGGTCAAAATACACAGACCTGCAGAGGACCTGCAGAACCAGCTTCTCTGGGGAAGGAATCTGGGGCTCTGCAGTTTTAACAAGCACTGTGTGTGATGTTGTGCACCTAGAAGTTTGAGAATCCCTGACAGACAGCATCATTAGCAATGCACACTTATCAAAATAATAATAGCAACAACGATGTAAGCAGAAATAAACACTTATTTAAAAAGATAAAGCCTAAGACACCACTGCCAAAATATTGCACAAGTGTTCCTGAAAACAATTCTTTGGCACGACCAAGCATAGAAAGATTTCACACAACGAAGTATTCCTTGTTCTTCCTGGTGTTCAGTTTTAACCACTCTTAATAATTCCTCCAGCTTTTTATACTTTGCAAAATGCTTTACCCTAATCTTTTGAGCTAGGTATGAGTATAACAAGGCTTACCTGAAGTTACATGGAAAGGGGAAAAATGAATTATTCAAAGATGGCATAATACCTCCAAATTCATTACTTTCCAGCTAACAACTACGCATTACCTTACGTATTCTTAAGAAACCTGTAACTAGGAGAAACATATACGTTTATGAGGTTTCCTCAATCTAGGAATGCCTGTGTTGCAAATCACAATTGTATATTTCTGAGATGCTAGGAGAGAGAGAAAGGACATAGCCTCAAGTCTCAGAGAGTTCTGGCTCCCCGCTCTGTGTTCTTCAATTTCTTCCCCCTTAAATCAAGATGAAAAGCCAGTATGGTGAAGTGATTAAGAGCCTGTACTCTGGAGCCAGACTGCCACTGTATAACCTTCGGCAAGTTACTTAACTTCTCTGTGCCTCTTTGTAGACACACCTGTAAAATGGGACAGCACTGCCTCATTCATTTGGTATGAGGATTATATATATATATTGATATATGTGTAACACTTTGTATAGAAACTGGCGCACAGTAAGTAATAATATTTGCTATTATTATTTCAGACCCATCTTGGAGTGTTAAGAGGAATAAAATTCACAAAAATAAGGGTAAAAGTCAGGGAAGGGGTGGAGAGACAGGGAGGAAAACTCTGTAATAGCTAAAGAGAAGACACAGAAGGCAAACAACAATGAAAAGTTGGTTGTTTCCAAGACATAAAAGACCAACTAAAGATATCGAAGCAATGGGCCAAGCAAAGCAAAGCTGTTTTTTCCTTGTTCTGCGGAGTGCTCAGCTGCCAGACGTTTCCATTTTCCGGTTCGGGTCCATATCACTGTATGAGTTTTCTATCTGGGGGTTCGACATTAGGGAATGACAGTACCTCTAACTAAGTCCCTGTGTTCATCAACATGACCAGGACTCTCACCTTCTGTGGCCTAAGGCAACAAGAGGACTTGGCCTCCACAGATCAAAACCCGAGGAGGTGAGGGAACCAGAAAAAAAAGCTAGGAGATTCCAATCCCACCAGCTTCCCTAGTCATGGAGGGGCCTGTGGAGGCTAGAACACAGACCCACCGTTGCTTCATTACCTAAATCTGCACGTGGGACTGTGGAAGGGACCTTCAGACCATACTGCCTGATTTCTCCATTTTACGGTCGTTGTTGAGACTGAGGTCCAGAGAGAGGAAACGACTTGCCCAAAAGCTAAGGGATATCTAGATGATTCTCTTACCACAGGGGACCACTGATGACTGAAATATAAGCCCTACTACTAATTAAACATTATTTCATCTTTAATTGCTATATGTTAGCCATTTTTAAAATGATCGTTCTTTTAAAAAGCCATGAAGCAAATTAAGTATCTCTTTAACGAAAACAGTGACATCAACTGTGGAATAATCACTTCCCTGTGACAGCTACTGAGCAGGAAGAATAGTGAGTACCAGCTATCTTGATACTAGTTCTCCAGGGCAGACTGGGAGATGCCACAGAGGACTTGGTGGGAGTGTGGCCACACACTCTGATGTGAGTCTCGGAGGTTCGACATGCACCCACGATATCCTAACTCCCCTTTAGAAGCTATTTGGAACTATCAACCAAAATTTATTTATCCCAAGTTCCTATGAACTTACTCGGGCTTTCAGCCTGCTAATATCTCATAGCTGAAACAATTGAAAACACCATATCATTCCAATCCTCTGCAGGTCCCACAGAAGGTTAGCCACCTTGTCCCCTCACCTTGTCCCCTCACCTCCAGAGACTGTAGCACAGGGACCTGCTTTAGTTGCAGCTAAAGGTTCGACCACATTATCCATCTCGAGACCTCAAGTGGCCAGAGTCTAATTTTTAGCCACAGACCCTGTTTTCAAAGATTTGGCATAGCAAATTAATTAATTTGTTTTCTCATTTAAAATAATCAAACTCATATCTGGCTGTTCATGAGAGCTTCCAAACAGGAGGTAACCAGTGTTGCCAAACCTACTTGATATTTCAACCCAAAAACAAAATACATTTTGATCAGCCAGAGACGCTTTGTTCTGAATATTTGGTCCCTGTTCTCCCCTCCCAACCACACACACACACACACACACACACACACACACACACACCCCTATTATTTCCTTTTCAGAGTCACAGGGATCCAAAGACCCCATGGACAATGCGGGGACATAGAACTTAACACACCAAAGCCACGACACTGCCCCAAATTGAAAGCAGCCTGGAATCTGGCATAGCCACCAAAGACTTGCTGTGTTGCCCTCCCAGCAGCTAATTTATCTATGATCTAAAATTACATCAAATTTCCAAGGACTGGGGAAAACATTTCCCATGAGCAAGAAGTTCATTTATTTGCAGGGGGAAATGGATGGCTCCCTTTGCTTTCCTGACCCTCCCATAGGAACCAGGAAACAACACGAAGTGACCCTGAAGAGAAACCCCAGACACAGCTTTCGGTTATGTAAGATGGCCTAAAATCAGCATGGGTGACAGAGGACATAAATCCTGCAACCCGCAGCAATGGGTCTAAGGACTCTTTAAGCAGAGGTGTAACATCTATGTAAATGCACTCCCTATTATGACTTGTTTTTTGTATGTCATACTTTGAAGGAGGGGTAGAGATTGTGTGTTTGGAACAAATTATCAAACTTCTGCTTTATACAATCACAGGTAAGAAAGTTACCGTTGAAAAAGCCCAGATTAGTGGAGTTCATTGTATTAGGACATGCTACAAGAAGCCCCCTCTATCTCCTTGTGCCCTTTGTCATTTATTTCATGAAAGCTAGAATTCTTTCCCTTTTGTGTTCTCAAGAAAGAAGAGAAGCTTTATTTAGCAACCTAATGGCATCTTAGGATTGGCAGTAGCAACATTTGATACCATCCTGGGGGGGAGGGATATGGGGGGGATATATATATATATTCTCCAATCATTTAGAAGGCCCAATAAGAAAAATTCATTTTCCAATCAAAGCTTATTAACTCTACCAACTGCCAACCCACCAGAAAGCACTCAAAGTAATGAGAACCATAAGAAGAGGGAAGGGACAAAAATGAGGGAATAATTTTCTGCTGCCGTCAAACCAGCCCTGTTCTATAAAACAATCAGCTGAACTCAGACTAGTATCGCTCAAGCGTCCTCCCCATCTATCTCTGCCACCCCCAGGGCTGGTGGGGGAGGCAGGGTCCCTCATTTCACTCTCCCCAGCCTTACTGAAGAAATACAGGTGAGCCAAGGGACATCATGCTCTCAGACCATAAACTCCTGATTCTCCACAGGAAGTAATACATTCCAAACACCCATGTGGTAAGCGCTCCTTCAAAGTCAACACTCAGTGCTCACTAAGTGCCAGGCCCTGCACTAGGCACTTCACAAGGACTCTCTGATTTAATCCTGTGAGTGATGTTACTGGCCTCATTGTACAAGTGAGAAAAATGAGTTGGATAACTTGCCCAAGGTCACAGAGCCGGTGCATGCAGAGCAGGAACTCGAAGCCTAATGGTCTGACTCCAGATGCAGCACTCTTATACCCACTGTTCTAGCCTACCGTGTGATTTCAAGGTGCACATGGGCTTCAGTGACTTCCCCGGAAGGGCACACACTCCCCAGCCCTAAGTCTGACTTCCAACATCACCCCACCACAAAAGAAGACTTCCCTTCTCTTGAAAAATTCAGACTGGACCCCATAGAATGGCTTAATCGGCACATGAAAAGAGGTCAAAAAGACGCTCCACACTCCGGGAGCCAGAATGAAATGCCACCGTTTTGTGTAGTGGAACAGCCTCCTAATTTCCTGTAATCCACCAAACTGAAAAACAGAGACGGTTCAGATTATAGCTTCTGGTGAGTAGAAGGACTTCAACTTCAGATGAGCTTTGAGACTTAGTGACACTTTGCAAAAGGGAGGAACTAAAAAGGCGACTGTTTCTGGGCCATAGAGAATATTTCATTCAGAGAGAAAGAAACTCGGAGCTTTTAAAATGTTTTTAAGGCTTGATCCTAAACAGAATGCTTATAATCTAGATGTCATATAATACTGGGTCCCTTTCACTTATAAAAATTGTCCCCAATGCAAACTGAAAGTGGTAATTCCATGTGCCAACTTAAAATAATCAGAGGTATAAAACAGCTCCAAAAGTACAATTCATTGAAAGGAAGGCCATAAGGCAATTTGCAAACGTCACATGCACTTGTTTATATGAATATCTATAGCCACATACAGTATCAAAATGAAACTAAAAGGGAAGGAATTCACTGTACAGAAGACAAAACAATACCCTTTTTATTTTTAAAACTCTGGTGAAATAGGTTTCCATATGACATCCCATTTTTTAAAAAGTTAATGTAAACCAACCTGCCTGTGGGTTAGTCACACTATAGCAACTTCATAGTGTGTACAGATGCCTCGAGTATTTACAAATGTTGTCTGTTAGGTAGTAAAGTTTTGTTGTAATTTTTCCAGCACATATTCCACAGTAAAATGAAGGGGAGGATATTGGTGTTCTTGTATAAAAATTCTTAACAAATGAATAAAGGCGATTTTCCTGAGAGAAGATTTGTTCTTGAAATATTTTTAACAATTGGAAATAGAGAAATGGGATGTAGTTGTAAAAGAAGCATAAGAATGTCTAAGTTAACATTTTTCTTTTAAATTATTTAAGTACCATTAAGTTAAAATGTTTACATTCATTATAAAAAATGTTGTTAAATCTTATGCAAATGATTTAACACTGATTGCTGCAACGCAAATTGCACTTTTAAAAAAATTATTGTATACATGGAAGAAAAATATCTTGTTTGCTACCCTGTTTACAAATTCCAACTGACTTCAGATCAGTCACACAACATGAACTTTGAGAAACTTCAGTCACAGTGTATGTTACAGTTATAAAGCAGTCTTGCAAACTGAGTAATATTTTTGACAAGAGACCTCATGAACCGACTCAGCCTCCAGAGGTGTGTACCAAATGGCCTCAAATGGTCTTCTCCATGAACGCATGTGAAATTTGGGTGTGGAAAAGGTATGAAGAAATTCTGGAATAACCAAAACCGATCAGAAGAAGCACATGATTTGGGGTAATACACATAAAACCCTTTTTAAAAAATCTCTCTCAATGCAGGCAAGGCCCCAGTCCTAGTCCCAGTTTCTGGAAGTGGCACAGCGGACACTGAATCCCCTGGCAACCCAGAGGCAGGCTGGCTGGAAGTGGCCGTGGCCAGGGAGGAGGTGACGTGCTGTGGGCTGCACTGGCCCTTCCCCAGATGTGCTCCATCTTCTCCCTGGCTCTTCATTGACAGGGTCTGGGTGGTAAGGCAGAGCAAGCCTCTTGGGAAATGCATCTCTTTCATAATAAAGGCACGGAAATCACCCGTCAGAGGAATGTTCCGTCAGCATACTCGCCCGGGTTTGGACGGAATCACCGCAGGTCCCGAGGGCCCTCCCGCTGCTGGTAGCAGGCTCAGGCCAGGGCTAGCGCGCACCACGAATCCTGTCTCACCGAGGAGGATGTGACTTCGGCCGGCGAGGCCAGGCTGACACCTATGTACAGCCCATCTTGACCTGAGTACTTGAGCTCACTGTTCTCGGGGTTAGTGCTTTCTCCCGCGCCAGACATCACTGGGGCACCAGCCTGGCAGAATAGGGGGACAGAGAGGAGGAGAAAGAGAAGGGGAGAGAGTTATCAATTAGTTTGTCTAATGGCATGCTCCTGCTAGGTAAACACATAGAGACAAATGAGATGGACAGTGCCATTGACCTAACTCTAGAGATTTCAGCTCTCAGAAACATTCTCCTGTTATCTTCAGAATTCATGGAAATAACCAACCGGCAAGATGCACAGCTGGACAACAGCAGAAAAGGAACTGGAGGAAGGTTATTTGTAAAAAGTGCCAAACCCTAAGATCCCTGACAGTGAAACAAGCCACACCACATAGGTAAACGGGCCCTAATGATGCCCACACAATCTAATCATTTCAAAAGAGAAAGTGCAGGGCATTGTACACACACACACACGTGTACACACAAGCGCGCGTGCACACACACAGCAGAGCCACAAGGCTTAGCAGTTATGTCAAAGTCTTAAAAGGAAAGCTACACAGTTCAGCAAGGCCTGATAAATGAAATTTTTGAGCACTGACTTCATGGAAAATTAACCCACGCATACACAGGTTTTAATATCTACCTCATTTACCTTAATTCTTTCCAAGAACAGGCTATGTTTGAAGCAGACCACATTATAAATAAAAAACATCCTATATCTGTCATGATCATGGCAATTATTTCTTGAAGCAAAAGGTCACCTTTCTCTTGTTTCATTCATCCCTCCATCCAAATGAGAAAGACCAAATAGAAAACATGATATAATTTAGTAGAATCAAACCAAACCAGCTAAAATCATGTCCAGAGTATGGTTTGAGAAAACAGTTGCATTTGACTTTTTTTTTTTAATCTAGCCATAATCACCTACTTTTTAATCATTCCTTTTTCCTTCTAAAAGCTCAGAAGCCTGTTACTTCTTTTGTGCTTTCGGGGTTCCATCCCATAAATTACTGGGTATTTGTTTTTTGACACAGGTAGAACATTTTATATTTTCAAAGCATTCCTTTTTTACATATACAATCCCATTAAATCCTTAAAACACGTGTCTGGATGAATTGATGCTGCATCCACTTCAGAGACACACATGGCACCAGACATAGGCTGAATTGAATGAAAGGTGGACCGAATTCCCTTGGCTCCACTCGGGGGCCTGTAAACAAATCTGGTCCTACTCTTCTCTGGATAAAATCTGGTTTTCTCTCTAATCTTCACAAAAACCTCCTAGGGCTGGGAGGTGGGGCTTTAAGAGGTCTAACCATGTGACTTCCTATCTGCCCATCCCAACTTCCTCCCAGCTGGACAGATCAAACCCAGCCCTTCCCCAGGTATCCAACCCTTCCCTTTCCTAACAAAAATGAGGGTTTATAAAAATCCAGCAAGCGTACCCCCACACCCAAACTTCTTTTTAAATAACACAGACTTAATGACTTAAACTAGGGGGGTTGGGTCCATCAAAAAGCAGATTTCAAAGTCATTTGAGATGTCTAAAATTTTAAATAGAATCTTGTGAAAATTCTGAAATAATTCTGTCAATCACATTGAAGCAATAAATTTTCTTACACGTATAAATATGATATTAACTTTACCCCTTAAATCCAGAACCTCCACTATGAGCAAAGCCAACGTGGATTCAGATTTAAATCCCCCAAAAATAAACAAAAGGGTTGTATTAAAGTACTAAATCCCTCTTCATTAGCTATCATACAACTAGTAGAAAGAGTGACTTCCTTTACCAATGATTTATGCCATACCCAACTTTGTATTGATCTATTTATTCTCAAAAAAAAAGTACATCTGCATTTATCTGACTAAATCTGACTTCAGGACAGCAAGTGCTATTCTCTGACATGAAGAGGGTGCCTGACTGGCCCAGGAAGCAGCCCACCTCAAATGGCCAGAAGTGCAGAGATAGCAGAGTGGTCTGTCGTCACCACAAGTCAGCAACAAAGAACATTAGCAAGGTGCCCATCGGAGCCAGGCACTGGGACTCTGAGCCCCAAAGAGATAGTTGCTCCCTGGACAAGCTCCCAGGCCACATGAGGAGCCAGGACACATATACACTCCAAAGTAAGACTGCGCAACTGCCTGTCATGAATGATAAATGAGTGGCTGAGACAGAGAGATGCAAGAGGTCAAAAAAGGAATCAGAGAGGGCAGCTTGCATGGAGGGGACAATCGTGGGCTATCAAGTGCCACTCTGGTAGGTGGCAACCTACTGAGTGTGGTCACCTCCCTGAGCTTCCTCAGTAACTGGCCCTTGTCTTACCTCCCTCCAGCATGGTGTGACAATGAAATGAGATACCATATTTCCCCACATATAAGAGGCACCCTTTTTCAAAAAATTTGGCGTCTAAAAACTGGGTGCATCTTATAGAGTAGAGTAGTTGTAGATTTTTTTAACTTGCATTTCCCGCTTTTTTTGCACTTGTTTTTGCGCTCATACAACTACTGTATAAGACGCACCCAGCGCCGGTGACGGGCGTAGGCTGCAGTCTCCTGCTGCAGTGGGCTTACATAAGCTACCATGTGTAGCCAGCAGCCAGCGTGAGCGGCCAGCAGCCACCGTGAGCAGCCGTCCAGAAGCTGGCAACTGATCTGCCTCGCCCGGGAAGAGTGCAATGATGGTGCCAACTTGGGCCAGTGAAGCAACGTCCTCCACAACTAGACTGAAGAACAAAACGACAGCAACTTGCCTGTTCCCCTTCCTCCGATACCCCAGTGCTGTTCCCCTCCCCCAACTCCCCAATAAAATCTTAAAAATAATAATAATAATTTTTTTTAAAAAGACGCACCCAGTTTTTAGACCCAAAATTTTTCAAAAAAGGGTGCGTCTTATACATGGGGAAATATGGTATTGTAGATATTTGTAGAAGCACCAGCATGATGCCTTGCCACGTTAAACATTTCCATAAAGGTAAGCTATTATTATCCGTGAGGAAAGGGTATTTAGAAACGGAGGCATGCAGGCCATGGGGAAGCCTGTTCACAAGAAAAAGCCAGCTAAAACAGAGAGGTTAAGCACAGGAGTCAAAAGAGACAATGTGGGAGAGGTAAATGAGAAAGCCTGACCTGGAACTTTCTGTGCCTCAGTTTCCTCACTAGAAAATGGAAATAAAAAGAGACACCTATTATCATAAGGTTGTTGCAAGAATTAAATTAGTTAATATATGTAAAGCCTTTACAGTGTCTAACAATACGTAGTAAAGACTACGTAAGTATAAACTACTATTAATATTTTATTATTGTTGTTAAGGAGCGTAGACCTAATCGACTCTCCCAACTCCATCCTTCACCAGGTGAGTTACTGCCATCACTGGGGGGGAACAGCAGTGGGAACTCATCCAGAACTAAGTGAAAACCACCTCAATGATGACCTTATTCTAATTGTTACTGACAGCTCTTTGCAAAGAAAAAGGTGCTTCCACAGCCCTTTAAAAGGCTCATTGGCCTTTTTTCAACTAAGCCACTTAATAACTTGAATATTATTCTTACACCTGAGCAATAATCCCAAAAGCTACCAGTTGAAATACCTATTGTCTTTGTTCAGACAAAAATGTTAAGCTGTATGGCAGGCCACGAGTTCTACTGTCAAGCAGCAGGCAAACCCCAAGTTACATGAGTGATGAGCTCCTAAAAAAAATATCAGCTCATTTGAAATCAAAAGCAACATCTGAGTCTCTCAGGAAAAAATGGAGCAAGTAGTTATCCCCAATGCTTGAGAACCTTATTTGTAAATGGGGATACACTATTTAAACATGAAATACTACAATGTAAAACTTTTATGTATGTCAATTGTAGCAATAAAAAATAAATTAAGGGCTGGCCGAGTGGCTCAGTTGGTTAAGAGTTCGCTTAAGAGCACAAGCTCTGAGCAACAGAGCCGCCGGTTCGATTCCCACATGGGCCAGTGACACGGCGCCCAAGCTGAGCTGTCACTGAGCTGTCACTGAGCTGCCAACAAGTGGCAGGATGGCTCAGCTGGTGTAACAACAAGATTGCCTGTTCAATGGTGACTACGCCCACCCACAACTAAGATTGAACACAGCAACTTGAGCTTAGAGATCATGAGCTGCCGTCAGGAAGCCAGATGGCGACTGGCACCCTCCACAACGAAGATTAAAGAACAACTTGGCTGGTCCCCTTCCCCAATTTCCCAACACTGTTCCCCTCCCCCAACTCCCCTATAAAATCTTAAAAAAATAAAAATAAAATAATAAATTAAGATTTTTATGTAACAGTGCATAATGAGATCATAATAATGAGATCTCATGCAACTGTGATAGCCCCAGTACTCTCATCCATGGCCAGTGGGGCTTTATTCTGGTGCATGCCTTAGAAGGCAGTTACAATTAGTAAAGCCATCAAGAATTTTATACTCTACTTAAGCCTGTAATTTCACTTCTGGAAATGGATTCTAAGGAAAGAATTCAAAGGAAGGGAAAGGCCCCCACATGGGAAGACATCCACTGCAGGTTTACTTATAATAGCGGAAACCATGGAAATAATCTAATGTCTAATAATATGGGGATGGTTTGGAAAAGCCAGGTACATCCACTTAATGAGCTATTATGCAATTATTAAAAATAATAAGATCATGTAGCAAAATGGAAAATTTCCTGTAATGCAATATTAAGTGAAAAACAGCAGGATATAAATTCGAAGTATGTCATAATTACAACTTGTCTATGCACGCACAAGAGTATTTCAAGGGAACCCAGGAGGGCATGGGGGGCCATCTGAGAGGGCCCAACCTATTAGTCATCTATGCCTTGCTTTGAATATTTTAATTAAGTGGCATAATATAGTCTAACTTTAGGAAAACAGTAGAATACACCAGCACCAGAAACACGGGGCACAAGCACTTGACAGATGAGCCACCCTGGACAGAGTAGCATGAAAAATAGAGAGGCACCAAAGAGAAGGGAGGATCTAAAGGGGCTCCTGCACCCTGAAACTCTCCTCCAGCCACCTGGCACAGGCTAGAACCTGGCTAGCCATGCCCATGTGAACCATGATTCCACATAAGTTAAA